TATATATATATATATACATATATATATGTGTGTGTGTGTGTGTAGCCTATATGCGTTATAATAAAACTCACTAAACAAAATATGAGATGTATAACTCTCTCAGTATTAACTCAATTTAAATTGCAGTAATACTTCTAGTGATCTCATAGCTAATATAACTAATATAACTTAGACACTTATCGCATAATACAAAAGCGAATTCAGATCTCCACCACCTTTGTCAGACCTAATTTACTGGTTCAGTTCATCAGTTGCGAGGCTATTGCACACTAAACCCCTCAAATACGAATAAAAAAAAACATTAACGAGCACTTAGTCGTACGACTCGTAGCCTACCTTAACTCACTTAAAAATAAACCTCGAGACATAAGTCAGCATGGAAAACGACCGGCAATCTCACTCATTCAATTTAGTGGACAGAAGACCGGTTGCTGTAACCCAGCCGAGTAATTATGCGACGTATACTTCTACAAATTATATCAGCAAATTACAATAAAAAGGGGAACTCGTTTAATAGCAAAACACAAATAAGCTGTATTTGCCACTGAACAATAAGTTTAATTTTGCAAGTAGGCTACTTACAATTTACGTGTAGCACATGGACACTCAACCTTCCCTCGTCACGTCAAAACAGAGCGTATGTCACAACACAGCACAACTTAACGTATTTGTAGGTGATTGACAGGCATCGATGGCCAATCAAACAGCAAGTTGGAAATCGTCACCGGTAACGGTTGCAAGAATTGTCACCTCTTTCAGCCAATGGAACAAGGATGATAACTGGTTTACCCTCCTATTTACTAAACAAAAATTAAATGAAGTCGTACCGATTGACAGAATTACCGACGAGTCCTAAATGTTAGATTTTCTGAAAGGGAAAGACAGTGGCAGTGAAATCTGAAAATGACAGTTTATTACACAAATCACAAGAGCGAGGAAGGAGAGTTTCGTGGTGGGCGTGGCCAAATCTTGGTTTGGTTGCATCGCAGCGCATACACAATGGCTGCTGGAAAGAGGGGAAAGCAAACAATTTTTAGGCCCGCCGCGTCCAGCAAAAAATATGAGAAAAAAATTATTAAAAATCCGGGAAATAGTTGAATGTCAAGAAAAATACCATAGAGAGGATGTTAACGCTCTCGCGGTGAGTTTTATGCGTATTTAGAAAATTGTTACTACGTTCTTTAATTAAAATATCGGGTTTATTCAAATTATGAGAGAGGGGTGAGCTAGAGAAAAAAAGTTTTGTGTTAATCAGTGCCCAGTTTGGAACTTGAGAGAAAAGCAACGAAAGACTGTGCTATAGCCTATCGGCCATAATTCTGTTATTTGTTTCTGTCAAGTCAGGTTGCGCTCGAACGAATATCAATAAACAGAGAAACGCATGAAGCTGTAAAAAGTTTTTGAAAAATTTGTTTTGAGATTTTCTCTAAATATACAGTAATGACATGGCTACGGGGATAGTCGCAGAAAATTGCATGCATATTTAAATATTAAGAAAATGCAGGCTGCATGCATGGTGCAAAATTTTGACACAAAAAAACGCGAAACGAACGCAAACACGGAGTTTGTTATAGAAGCACCTTTCCTTGTTTTTAATCACATTTAAACTCAAAATGTAATAAATAAGCTGCATAATTCTGTTTAACTTTGACACAATTTACAAAGTTAGCTGTTTGGGAGTCACAGTTGGTGACTATATTAGGGGTGTCAATGAGTTATACAAAGTTGCACTGTGGGTCATTATAGGAAGAGAAAGCTGCATGCCAATATCGAAAACAACCAAATGGTGGGGATAATTCGGGGGACTAATTAGGAGATGCTGAGCAGAGCTCTTCGATGTTCATTCCGAGAGAAAGTCTCACTTAGGATCAGGATGAGTGATTGGTGAAGGGTCATTGGATCTTAAATCTTAAAGGACAGAATCCTTTAATGATGCTAGTAATAGTTTGATTTTACTCTTGACACCTAAGTCAATAATAATATCAAAGTTGTTGGTTGCTACGACACGGGGTGTGGTGCGTTTCTGTAGAATGTCAACTTATATTTCTTGTATAGCTTGCGATCAGATATGAAATGTGTGCATATGATGGCGCAGCGTGTGGTAACGCAAGGGCATCAGCGACATTGTGCGCAAAATACATTGTAGAGCTGTTAAAATCGGTGGTGCGCGCGCGCGCGCGTGTGTGTGTGTGTGTGTTTGTTTGAAATTAGAAATAGAAGGGTGTATTGTGTGTGTGTTTGTTTGAAATTAGAAATAGAAGGGTGTATGTAGCCTACACAGCATATGGCCAGATGCGGTGGAGGTTTCCCCATCTGGAATATGAAGCACCTCTGTTGCTCCTGGATGTTCTTTTCTTTTCTTTTCTTTTCTTTTCTTTATAGCCTTTCAGCTGAAGGGGGTCATGGGGTTTACCGCGCAGTTGTTGTGAATGTAAATGTGTTCAAAGTTCGGAGTCCTTCAAAAACTCCAAAAAACGTTAAACCTTCCCATGTAATGTAGACCCCTATTAATAGTGTGAACTGCATTAATCAGTTTTACAGAAAAAAAGGCTAAAGATTTAGCATTCTAGCAGGAACTGTCGTATTTGCATATTTAGATCTCATAATTTATGTCGGTAGTCAAAAAGCTGGAATAATTGTTGGACTGCGTAATGAAATTGTAAAGTAGCTTAAGATTTGGTGCAGCGAGAATTGTGCAATACGATTTTTAAATATGAATAACTGTATAATTTAAACGTTTTTTTTCCCTGTGAAACTGATCCATGCAGTTCACGGGAAGCTTTTATGTAGTTGTGTAGCCTTCCTGCAGCTCAAACAGAGCTAGGCTAGCAACAAGGCAATTTGATTCCTAGAACCTTTAGATAAATGTGTGCCTTAAATGCAATATAAGTCGCTTTGGATAAGCGTTTCCCAAATTAATTGTATTATGTATTAAATTAAGTGTAAATGAATAAAGCTTACTTCATCAGAGTAGAATATGTTGTGTTTAGTTTTATTTGTTTTCGTATTTTTGACTGTATAGGCTTAAAACTGTAACACTTTAACCAAGTAATGAATTCTTAGATATAGATGGTGCTTTTATGCTCTCTTGCATTAAATAATTTGTAGTAGCTTCCGTAAGTGATGAAACTCTGCAAACATTAGTAATATGTCTTGCCAAGGAGACTTAAATTACAATATATTTTTTATACGTTTTTTTTCCTGTAAATATTTTGTTTAATCTTAAACAATATTTGTTTCATTTTCTTCTTCTTCTATTATTGTTATTATTTCTCAAAACTGAACTTACCGATCAGAAATGTTGTAACAATGTAAGAATATACTGGACATAGCATTTCAGTTTTGTGCTGGTACAATTCTAAAGGTTTATAGCTATATTTTGTGTTTTGCCATTAAATTAGTATAATTACTAAAATTGCAATGCTATAGAAAAATCTTGATGACAAAAAAGTTGATGCAAGTAACAAACCATTTTGTTCTAAAAAAAATAATTGTAATATAGGCTACATATTTTAATAAATCAAGATGTAGAGGCGTAGAAAAATAAGTTAACTGGTTTCACTTGATCTATTTTATTTTTTAAAGAATGTATGTACAGTATGTATGTATTTAATGTTTAGAGAGTTCCAGTATGGAACAGTTAGTATGGAAAAATGTGAGAGATTAATGTGAAAGAAAACATTAATTTTAACTTAATTGAAATAACAATTGTGTTTAATGACACACTTGGCATACTTCCTCTTTTTGTCTTTTCATTACAAATGCTCCACTGAAATTGTGCCACTGTGTTTACAGTTTTTACTGTTGCCACAGTATTTACACTTTACAATTAAATCAACCTACAAGTGGCTTCTATGTGACACTGCATACTATGATGGCATGGAAGTAAATGAAAGTATTTTATTAAAGGAATGTAAGTATTTTATTACTTAGTAATGTTTTAGCTCATTTGGTCTGGATACAGATTTCTGTATCCTGTTGCCACTGTCTAGTCCAGTGTTCTCAAAGTGTGGTGAATACCATCAGTGGTACTTGGGAGTGCCCCCAGGTTAAATAACCAAGGAAATTTGAAATACAAATTTTAAATTTTGTAATTGAATTTGTAATAAATTACAGATTTGAAAACAGTCATTTATTATTTCATGTTTTTTTTTGACACAGTATTAAGGTATTCAGTTCATTCATCTAGTTAATTTGTTTGCTGTCTTTTTTCTTAGGGCCCTGTGTCTCTGCTGTGTTGAAGAATTGGGCTGTCACACTCTCTCTGTGCTGGGACATATCACTCGTGTCCACCACATGGCTTGCTGTCACTAAGTTGCCATGGCAACGGTATCTCCAAACGATTGCCCCACCACGGCAGAACACTGTCGATTGAGGAAGAGGAGAGCAGAAGGGAAACTGAGGAAGAACTTCTCCTGTCAGTTGTGTGAGAAGGCCTTCAACAGCTTGGAGAAGCTGAAGGTACACTCGTACTCCCACACAGGGGAAAGGCCGTATCACTGCACACACACTGAGTGCACCAAGGCCTTCGTCTCCAAGTATAAACTCTTACGGTAGGTACTTACACTTTCACAAACGATTCCATGGCCATCATATGTCTCTGTTGGAAACCCACTGTTTCTGTTTCAGTCAAAATTTGCAAATAAGTGAGTGGTCTGAAATCATATGGTAATTGTGATTTTGAAAAATAGGGTGTTCTTACACAAAAACGTTGGGTTGTTTTTTCAACCCAAATGCTGGGTTGAGACCGCTGGGTAAGGACGTTGGGTTGTTTTAACCCAATTTTGGGTTGAAAATTGGTCTTGATCAATAACCCAGCGGCGCTGGGTTGGGAACGCGGACGTGAAGGAGAGCACGCACGTCACGTTAACATCGGACGTATCTCGACGACACCAGTGCGAGAAGCCGCCATTTTCTCAGCGTCTTCAGATTGAAGCGAGTGCGAGCGAAAGACGGTTTATGGTAAGTAAAGATTAAAAATGTAAAGTCATCATTCATTGTTTGAGTCCGGTAGTATCTTGGGATTTCATGGAAGGCAGAAATATTCCGAAAAGAACTTATATTGAAAAATACGCGGACGCGGATTTCGCCTCAGAAATAGTCTTAACGGCCTCTTTTACTAAACGGAAGAGGTGCTTTTAATATAACGTCAGTGAGTATCTTATGTCATATTTACATAAAATTTTACAATATTTGCATTTTTTGAGGTGTTAAGAGAGGGTTATTAACATATTTACATGTTAATTCGTTATCTCCTTATTCGCGGTTAAATTGAATGTAGTTTCCTAAAGGAAACGGCGTTATGTAGTAAAGACTAGCCTAATTATTTCGAGGCTGATGAAGTGATAACTGTTAAAAGTAATGTTTTGCATGTTATATTTCAGACATGTTGAGCTTTGTGTCTTCATTGTGCCCGCGCCGGGAGTTAACGACACAGAACCCTGCTTGTGTGAGGAGGCGATTTTCTCAGCTTCCTCAGAAGAGAGGGAAAGACGGTTCTTCTTCTTCTTCTGTGGATTTATTGGCGGGTCGCATACCAGCTTTTAAGGTGCATACGGCCACCTCCTGTGGGAAAAGACGGTTAAGGCAAGTAAACTTCATAATTCCATCATGTTATCTTTTTTTTTTTTTTTAAGCTAATGCGATTAT